AAACGGACATGGAGACATACCCTCTCACACAGATCTGGGCACACCCAGGGACTCGGAGATATTTGTCCAAAGAAGATCACAAAAGTCTTCATTAATCAAAGTCCAGCTGCATATTGAATTGAATCGAGGAAAGTGTGTAAGACAGAGAGAGAGAGAGAGAGAGAGAGTGTGTGTGTGTGTGTGTGTGTGTGTGTGTGTGTGTTTATGTATGTTGCATGGGCCTAGAACAAGGGTAGGCAACCTTTTTCTGTCTAGTGCCCGATAGCAATTATTTTAGGCCTTGTGTTCATACAGTGTTGCAACTACTTAATTCTGCTGTGTCGCCTAATGCAGCCTTAGATGATGTGTAAACAGCCTTATGTTCTAATAAACTTTATTTATGGACACTGAAATTTGAATTTTATACATTTTGCCTGTGTCATGAAATATGATTCTTTTAATTCTTTCCAACCATTTAGAAATGTAAAAACGGTTCCCGGCTCACTAGCCGTGTAAAAATAGGCTATAGCCTGGATCTGACTGGCCGGAAGGGGTTGCCAGCCCCTGGGTTGTAAGGTTAGGAAAGAGAAATGGTCAGAGAGGTTGACGAAGGGAGGGGCTTAGCGTTGAAATAGCCAGAAATGCCCAATGGCACCTTGGATGCTTCGCCTCATTCTAGGAGCCCTGAATGCCCATCTGTTTAATGGGTCAGGCCTAGGAGAGGCTCCCTGCCTGGCTTCAGCACCCTACTCCAGATTGGGCCTGTGCTTTGTCCCCGAGATCAACTTCCCCCACTCTAAAGCCTGGAGACGACATTAAAGACTGAAAAGCTGACTGCTGTCACTCGAGCTTGCTAAACAGTTCCTGAGCCCTTTACCCTTCACCCTTTGTATCCAAGTCTATGCCCATCCCCATGGGCGGGGAAGCCACGTGGAAACCTGGGCATACCCCTTGTTTCTAGACAAGACTTGAAACTCACAATGAACATGAGGAGACCTGAAACAGCTCAGAGGAGAGGGGCTGCTCATCTCAGGGTTGAGGCTTCTCAGTGGAGGGCCAGGTCACAAAGGGCAGGGGCTGTCTGAGTGGGCTTCCTGGAGGTGGCATTGGGGGTTGGGGGTTTGGGTGGGACACTCATCCCAGCTCTCCAGACTCCATGTATTGCCCTAGCTGCCCTCATCTTCCCCTCCTGATCAATGGGCAATGCAGAGGTTTGGCTGAGACAAATACATACAGATAGTAGCTCCTTCCTAGGCACCGCTGAACTTCTCAGCCACTGATCTAAGGCTTGTGTAGTGAACTACGCCCTGCGTTCTGTCTCTTGCTTTCCTTCCTGCCACCTGTGAGGAGGTGGGCCAAGGAGACGCTCCTCTCTCATTTTTCCATGTCTCTGGGTTCTGTCCCCCACTTTCCATCCCAACTGCCTCCCTGCTCAGCTTAGTCCGCCATCACCTCTACCCTAGACCCAGAAAAGGGCCTCAGGGTACATTTCTGCCTATATTTTCCCCCTTCATCTCTGCTCCCCAGCCTTTGAAGGGATATTTTCTAAATGGAAAGCCGATTATTCCACTCCTTTGCCCACAACTCTTCATTGCTTATGACTCTTCTGCTGGTGGAACAACTCTCCAGCTTCCACGGACTGGCACCAGCCCTCCACACTTTCTCTCCTCTACCTCATCACCTCCTGGTATATGTCGTGTGCTCCTTGACACCCTGGAATCACCTTCCCAAACCCATCCGGGGGCACTTGTCCAAGTTTTCTGGGCACTCATGTGTCTTGCCTGTGCCAAGTGCTGTGGGCACACACACACCAGAGCTGGGCTCATGCTCACTTAGAGGCTGCAGCTTACCCAGGGTCTGCACAAAGGGAGAGGCTGTCATGCAGAGCTACTCCTCCCCAAGCCACACCCCCTCTGCCTGGTGGGTGCTCAGGGCACTGTCCACAAGCTTGTGCCTCCCTCTGGCCAGGCCTCCTGTTCCCCTTCCTCCACCTCTCATCCTCTCCCCACCCTTTCCTTTCCCACCTTCCTCTTCTCCCTGCATTTATCTTCTGCCTCCTTCCTCCCCCTCCTCTTGCCTGGCCTAGGGGGAGCACTCCCTGACTCCTCCAGGTCAGGGTAGGTCCATGTACTATACAGTACGGAAGAGGATTCCTCATAGGACACATTTTTTGGGAAGAATGACTCTGCAGCATGGCCTTGGGGAAGTTTCCCGGTCTCCTAGGGCCTCAGTGCCTCACCAGTGAGATGGGATGATACTGCCAAAGTGCACGGGTGCCCCAGCCTGGCCCTGCCCTGCCTTGGACCTGGTTTCCCACCCAAGCTTGTGCAAAATGCAGGGCATGAGTGGGATCATCACTGGGGGCCCATCTGGTGGCCTAGCTCCTGTCCCTCACTGTGGACAGGATCCAGTGACTCTGAAAGGGGAAAGTTTGAACAGCAGAGAATAACAGCAGCATTAATGATTCATCTTGAGATTGCCAGGAGGCCCCTGGCCCAGGAGTTTTTGTGTGCCCTTTATCAGCTCTGGTCTTATTGAGGAGAAAACAGGTTCTAGAGAGTTCCCCCTTCTTCCCCGCAGCAGCTTCTGTCCCTCCCTTTGAGGGGTGAGAGGGAGGGGGACAGTGTTTCATCTTTCAGCTTTCTCTCTCTTGTTCTTGGCCCTAGGAGGGAGAGGAGGAAGTAGGGGCGGTCTGGCTCCCCTGTCGTGAGTAAAGGGAGCATGGGGAGAGCAGGGGAGGCGAGTGATGTACTTAGCCTGGCCATCTCCTTTCTGGTGTCCAGGCTTGCCCTGCCCTGTGAGGGGAGGGATGCTCAGTGGCCAGAGAATTCCACTAGGAGGCGACTCGGATGGCCCCAGCCCCATGAGGGGCAGATCTGAATCCCAGGGCTGTGTGGCCCAAAGAAGAGGTGGGTACGCTGTTCACACACCCCTGTAGGGGCTTACAGGAGGCAGGGGAATCTGTGCTGCTCAGGGCTGGTTGGGAAGGGCACAGGGACATCAGAGCTTCCCACTGTGGGCATGGGCCAGCCGCTGGAGTGGGGCGAGTGCCCATCTCAGGAGTGGAGTTGGGAGTGGAGTTGCCTTCAGCCAGGGGAAGCAGAAGGGATCTGCTGGGCTTTGGACAGTAGGGGGATGGCTAGAGGGTCTCTGCCCTCCGCACGGAGATATGGAAAGTCTGCAAGCCCAGTGAGTCACCGCTCACTCCCGTGTGCTGACTGATGACGCCATCCTCTGTGTGCAGGGGCCACTGCTGCCTGGTGCAGCGACTCAGCGGAGAACATGGCTACTATAGTCAGTTTCACTCCAGGCTCAGTGGCTGGGCTTAGGAGAGCTGAGGAGGGAAGGGGAGATGCTGTGCTATTGGGACCCCCCACCCCCAAATTCCCTTACAGTCCAGGTATCTGTCACACAACCCATTCCTGCCAGGCAAGCCTCCAGGCTCCATATTGTGTGACCTTAGGAAGTGTGTCTCCTTCTCTGGCCTCAGTTTCCACATCCGCACCTTTAGAGGTCGGCTTTAAGTTCTATTTCAGGTCTGAAATGATGTGTCTGTAACTAATTCTTCCTAAGGAGGAAACTAGACATAAATATGTGGACGGGTGTAGTGGCGGGCCTGACCAGCCCCTGGAGGTGTGTGTGAGGGTTCCTATTGGAGTTCCAGTGGGCTCTGAACTGATCTTCCTTTGACCAGTAAGAGGGCACTGGAAGCATAGGGATGGAGTGCACCAGCTCTGAAGCCAGACTGCTTGGGTTTGCTTCCCAGCTCTACTGGGGCCTTGCTGTGTGACTTTGGGGAAGTGGCTTACCCTCTCTGTGCCTCAGTCACCTCTGCTATAAAGGCTAATGCTAGTAACTGTTTCAGGCAGGTTAAATGAGTTCACACAAGTTTTTTTGCTTGCAAGAGTGTCTGGCACATACTGAGTATTTAATAAAAGTTAGCCACTAGTAAATAAAAGTGCAGGAGGCCTGCTCCCATTTTGAATGTGACAAGGTGCCGTGGGGGTGGAGGTGACAGCAAGAGAGTGCAAAAAGTCTGAACACAAAGTGGTGAGATATAGTATAACCCTTACTGAGTGCCAGGCTATAGTAAATACTCTTTAGTTTATTTGTATAAATTTGCTGATGCCTGACAGTATCTATGAGATAGACATCACTATTATTCCCATTCTACAGATGAGAAAAAGAAGGCACAGAGAAGTTAAGCAGTTTTCCCAAGCTCCTAGGGCTAACACATCTGGCAAAATGGTCCCAAGTCTGCCATACTAATTGCCAGGAGGTGAGTTTAATTGTCCTCAAAAGCTATCTGCCGCAACAAAGCCTGGACCTGAGAGACAGCGTCAAGGAATATGGTGTGACCCACTTCCCCATCCTAAGCCAGTTTTGTGGCTGGGCTGAAATCCATCCTCAGGGAGGGGAGAATTCAACCCCAGGCTGCAGTGGTGGGGCCTGTCCTATCCCTTGAGAGTATCACTAGCAGCCTGGGGGAGTCCAGAGGAGAGGGCTGGAGTGGCCAACAAGGGGGCCGCATCTCAGAGGGACACTGCGGTGAGAAACACTGGGTTTGGGGCAGGCAGCCTACGTCTGTACACCCTGAGCGCTGTCCATCAGGGGGCAGTGCAGGGTTGTGGTGGGGGCAGAAATGCCTATAGGGGCTGAAACGATTACCACGCAGAGAGGGGAGAGGCTGAGGGAGGTGACTGTGATCCCTGAAGTCCCCAGTAAAGTCTAGGCCTGGGAACTCCCAGGTTCTGTCTCTCCTCCTCTTTGCTAGCGGGGGTGTCTGTGTCCGGTTAGACAGGGAGTGGATTGTAATCGGGGGGCACCAAGAGAAGGTAACAGAATCAAGAACCCTGGGTCTAGTTCCAGAGGAGGTGCCCTGTGAAGGTGTCCCAGCTCCCTTGCCCTGGGTCACTGGGCTGGGGGCACATTGTCTCCTGGTAAGCAGCCTTGTGATGAAGCGGAGGGCTGGGGCCTCTGCTGGAGCTTGTCTTCAGCCCACTGCAGCTATAGCTGAGTTGCTGCCCTTAGCACAGCAGGGGTGAGGCCCCTGCAAGTCTGGGTGTCCCTGTGTGTGTGCATGCATGTGCACACGTGTGCACATGTATGCTGTGCTATGCCTGCACCCGTATCTGAATCCGAGTATATCCGATTCCCTCTATATCTGAATGCCTTTGCAGGGTGAGTGTGTGAATTGTTCTGCGTATCTACAGTCCGATCTGTGACATATCTGAATATCTGAATTGCTGTGTGCTTGCATCTGCACATATTTGTTCTGTATGTGTTTCTGTGAAGGAGTATGTGTGTATATGTGTATGTGTGCATAGTTGCCTGTCATGGGAGTGTATGCTTCCACCTGTGTATACCATCATGGGAGTTTGTATCAATACCTCCAAGTGGTGGCCCTGGGGATAAGTGTCTTTGTCTCTGTAGGGTTGACATGTCTTTATGCTCATCTCTGTGGACCTGTTTCTGTGTATTTTTGTGTGTGTATGTCAGAGAGAAACAGAAGCAGAAATCCACCAGTCCTCAAAACACAAACTCACTCTGTCTGCTTGCTGCCACCTGCTTTCCCACCCTATCAGAAGCTTTCAAAATCCTGGTTCCTCTGTGCCAGCTCCCTGGGTTCTAATAAAGGTTAAAACAGGCTTTATAATCCTAACTATACATGAGCATCACCTGGAGAACTTTAAACAACACTGCTGCCCGAACCACAGCTGAGAGCTTCTAATTCATTTGGGCAGGGCTTTTTTTTTTTGGGAAGCTCAGATGACTCTAGTGGGCAGCCCAGGTTGTGTACTTGGGTCAGAGGTTAGGACTTTGCTGAGGAGGCAGTGAGCATCCACTGTGGGGGGGGTCAGCCCAGTTCCGATGGGGGTAGTGCTGCTGCCATCTCAAGGTGTTGCTGAAAGCAAGCAGCTGTTTTCACCTTTTTGGCCTGAGGTTGTGGAAGGTACAGGGAATCAACCCCTGATCGTGGAGGCTCTCTGCCTTGCAGGATTTCCCCACAACCCTCTGCTGGCCTGGAGAGTGCTGAGGGTCGCTGGTGCCCGGCACTCCTCCATCACAGCCAGGCAAGCCAGGAGGGTCCTCTCTGCAGGCAGAGCCTTGGACTTCCCAGGGCTAGTAGAAATGACCAAGCCCTTTGGGGTCCACTGGTGCTAGGTCACACCAGAGGCAGCCTGTGGCCACCAGGCAAGCCTTGGGAGCTGGTACAGAGATCGAAGCCCGAGTGCCCGGCCTAGATGGTGCCTCAGGGTACCCAGGAGTGCTGAGGCCAGGCAGTCTGCCCTGTCCTCCCTGGCCCATATGAAGAGGCTAGGCCAGCGTTGCCATGCCCCCCAGGCTTCTTGGAGCATCACTTGGGGACATCTGAGGCCTCTCTCAGCATCTGACTGAGCCCTGGTGCATAATATGGGGAGTGGGGGCTCCCTTTTTTTGAGCCCTCCTGCAGCTGGTTTTATTTCTCCTTTTTGGATGCTTATCTCCTGCCTGAGCTTGGAGAGGCCCTGTGGAGGCAAGGAGAGAGGGAGGGGACGTGGTTAGGCAGAGAGTGAGGGACACAAAGGCCCCTGGGGTGCAGCAGCTCTGCCCTGCTGGTAGGGGGTGTGCAAGGACTAATGGTTGGAATGCACATGAAGGATTTGCTCGGGCCCCCCATGGCCTCCTGGGCCAGGCACCTGTGGGTTAGCAGTGCCCTGAGATGGGCCTACTCAATCTCTCTTATAATAATAGTAATAATTTTAAAATAATCATAACCATTGTACGGCTGTGCCGGAGCCTATTTAGCAGTGCCTGTTGATGGATGCTTTGCTGCCCTATTTTTTATTGTTGATGCTATTTTAAAGGATGATGTGGTGAATATGCTTGCATACGCTTCTTTTTGTCCAAGTGCAAACATTTCTCAGATGCAGAATTGCTGTGTTGTAGGGTATATGTAGTAATGATCAATTTTAGAAGCAGAGTATGCTCTTCCCCTGGAGAGTGCTCCTGCAGACTCCTCTCTCAACTCCCTGTAACCTGTCTGTCTGGTCCCCACCAGTGGCTCCAGTCCTTGCAGACCTGCTCCCTTGGAGCTCCTGCAGGTCTGAGGCCTGAGCACACGCTTCATCTGTCACTGTGTTTCCCATGTCATGGTTCAAGGCTTTATCCCGAAGATGAAGTAGAGTGAGGTAGGGCATGTTAGGGTACCAGGCCAGGCAGCTGGAACAAAGAGGCCCTTTGAGAGGGTCAATTAGCTGGAAGGTGGCTTCCCTTTGGCGTAACAGTCTGGAGGTAGGTGAGCCCTCCAGGCAGGCCCAGAGGCTGGGATCCACGAGGTCACCTGGTGATCCTGCCTCCTCTCATAGTGTTGCTGCCGACACCCCCGGATACTGTTCCTGTCCACACTGTCAAAGTGGGGTTTGGCATTTGGGAAGGGTGAAAGAGCAGGAGCAGAGATCATGCCACGCCCTCATACACAGAGGGTGCGGATGTGGCCACATGCTGCCACCCACATTCCATAAGTGCTAATAACTTCATCATGTACTCACACCTCCAAGCAAGAAAGACCAGGAAATATGTCTAGATGAGCATGCACGTAGCCAGCTAAAACTTTGTCAACTGTGGAGGAGGGTGAACATGCAAGGATTTGGGGAGAAAATCCCTCTGGTGCCAAGGAGAAAGCCATTCCAGACCATGCCAGGAGAGTGATGGAGCTGAGCCAGTGTGTGCCCACAGTATCCCCAGCACCTAGCACAGGCTGAGTGCCCAGCACGTTTGCACGGCAGAAGAAGAAAGCGCAAGACGGATGCAGGCATGGAGGCGGGATTATCCTTGGAGGCTGAAAGCCATGCTGCAGGGAGCTGGGGGAATGAGGAAGGCAGGTGGTCTCGCCCCCCCCCCCCCCCAACCCCGCCACAGCACTGGGCCCACAGGATTCACACCTTTCCTCCTTCTCTAGCCTGGAGACACATTGGGGCTGACCCGCCGCTGCTGTCAATGGGAAGCCAGCAGTGCTGGCCAAGAAGCGTCATGGTTGGTGTCGTGCATGTCTCCCTGGCTGCTCTCCTCCTGCTGCCTATGGTAAGAGCCCAGGAACATCTCCTCTGGGAGCCTCAGGCTCACCTGAGCCCCTGCTCTAGAGAACCCATGTCTTTTGTGTGCCCTCAGCTCAACTATTCACTTGGCTGGTATTTCTGCCACCACCACCACCGGGCCCCCCAGCGCCTTTGTGTGAATCAGAAAAGATGCGCTTTCCTCAAGACCCTATATTGATTTGACCAGAATTTATTACAAAATGTACAAATCTTTATGATGGTAATGTGTGGCAACATTTAGAATTGCACAGTACACACTCTGCTCAGCTGAACGCAGGATCTCTGGTCAGGGCTGCCGAAGGCTCTTTTGATTTTCTTGCCACCAGCCCACCAAGCCCTCCCAGGGTAGAACTCAGAAGACTGCCCTCTGCTCAGATCTCTCGCTGAGCAAAGGTAGGGATGGGGAGTGAACAGAGGAGGACTCCCAGGAACTGGTCCCATCACTCGACCTGAGATTTCAGAGTAGCAGTGGGTGAGGCTGTCCCCAGGACCCTGGGTACCAGTTCTATCTCTGCCCTGACTCAGTAAGTGGTCAGACAAGCCTATCCCTTTCCCTGGAAACTGCCTGCACATCTGTGAATAGTAGGGATTGGACTCTGTCCCCAGACATGGCCCTTGGCAAGTCAAATGCCTTGTGACTGCTTCCTCACTTGCTGACATCCCCCTGGGAACCATCCCTGCCCTGGGGGTTTGAGTTAAAGTGACAGCATTTGGAAGCAGCTGTCATGATAGCAGTGCATGGGCTGTGAAGTTACTTGGTCCTAAACTTGATGCCCATATCTGCTGTTAACCAGCTGTGTGATTTTGGGCTGGAGTTTAACCTCTCTGAGCTCCAGTTTCTTCTTCTGTAAATAAGGGTGGTGAGTAGGCCCCACTAAATGGCACCACTGCTCCTTAGCCTGCAGCTGCTGGGGGCACCTTCTCCCTGAGCTCCTGGAGAAGACAGACAATGAGATTTCTCCGCCCGACTTCTCCCTTCCACTTGTTTCCTCCCCTAACCTGCAGCTGTGGCCTTGTGGCCCCTGGAGTCAGACCTCCTGGGTTCGAATCCTCGTTTTTCAGTCTCCTGAGCCATATGACTTTGAGCAGGTGACTTAACATCTCTGTACTTAAGTTTCCACATCTGTGAAATGGAAAATGATAAAAGTAGTACTTCATAGTACTCTCCATATGCGTGCACCGAGTCAAGTGCTATATATGCTTCCTGTAAGATGTGGAAACTGAGACCCAAGGAGGGAATGGGACCTGTACAAAGCCACACATTGAGTTGGTGACTGAAGAGCCCTCATAGTATCTCTCAAGGTGAATGCCAGGGCCTCTGCTGGCCCTGACATCTCTTGTCACCTTCCTCTTTGGTTCTGTTCCCTACTCCCCCCAGGACACTGCCCCTTGGGCTTTGGTAGGAGGGCTTGCAGACAGGCCTTCCTGCCCGCCCCCACCATCTATCCTGTGTTCTCCCACAGGCCCCCGCCATGCATTCTGACTGCATCTTCAAGAAGGAGCAAGCCATGTGCCTGGAGAAGATCCAGAGGGCCAATGAGCTGATGGGCTTCAATGACTCCTCTCCAGGTAAGCGGGACAGCAGGGAACATGCCATGTCCCCAGTGCCAGCTTGGTAAACTGTTTTCCTGTCCTCAGGCTCACCTAGCAGAGAGTGGTCAAGGATATGGGTTTCTGGGACCTTCAGAAAGCCCTCTGGAATACTGATGTCCTGGATCTGCCCTGGGCAATGATGCTGGGGCCGCCCCCTCAAGGCTGGTGTGCCCTGGATGGCTCGCGGCTGTTCTGGGTGACTGGACATGGCTGCCTTCTCTCCCACAGGGGCCGGGATAGCACTGGTGCCTGGGCTGGGCAGTGGCTGTCAAGAGCTTGTTAGCAGGCAGCATGGGCCTGGTGGCAGCAGGGACACAGCTGTTGCCTGTGGCTGAGCTGTAAAGTGCTTGGTCAACCCAGGGCGGGTAATGTGGGGTCCTTTCCCACCTCCTCTGCTCATTCCATCAGCAGCCAGAGAAGCAGCAGCAGCAGCAGGAACTGCAGTCCTGAAGCCTCGGGTACTATGCTTCTCCTGGGGCTGCATTTGAGGAGGGTCCTGCTTCCCTGTGCCAGAGGAAGCACACATTGCAGGACACTGAGCATTCTTGGCCTCTCCCATTAAATGCCCATAATGTCCCCGACCACAATGACAACCACAAAATGCCTTCCAACAGTTCAAATGTCCCAAGGGAGTGGTATGACCCGTGGTGAGAACCAGTGGCCCCATTGAACGCCCCCCCCAAGCTTCCCATTGTGCAGATGGGAAGCTAAGGCGCATAGAGCAAAGGCACTGTCAGCTTTTGGCCTTAGGGGACGTTGGGGAGTTGGGGGAGGGGGCATCATAGAGGCCTCGCCAGCCTCACTTTTGCCTCAGTTGTTGGAGGACTGGCTCCGTGCTGCCTAAGCAGGGCTCTCTGCTCAGACCAGAGGGATTCATTTTTCCTTCTGGATCCTCCTGGCTGCTCTGAGCACCATCTGTTTAAACACTTGATTAATCTGCAGCCCAGTTAAATGTAATGGTCCCACTGGATGGAGCTCCCCAGCCAGTTGCTTCTCAGTGAACATTAACTAGTAAGGGAGCTACTCTGGGTCATGCTGGCCTTTGCCTCCATCTGAGCTCTTGCTCAGCCCTAATCAAGGCTGAACGTGGATTTGGGGCCCCACCAAGTGAGGGAAACTGAGGCAGGGGGCCCAGAAGTGCACACAGTTGGAGGAGGCCAAAAGAATATCCCAAGGTTATCTGGTCTGAGTCTCTGTTTGGCCCTGGGAATGCCGAGTCTGGAGGGCAGGGATGGTGTGGATCACATGGAGGATCAGGCTGAGGTAGGTCTGGAACCCGGGTGTCCTGCTCCAACCCAGGGCCATTGTTCCTGCATCTCATGTCTCAGACACATCTGGGGTTGAACAATAAAAGCATTCAGTATGGAAGAATAGAGGCAGGGGCTGGGGTGGGACAGGGACCTCTGGATAAGCTGTGTGCAGTTTAATTGCACACCTGCTTGTTGAATTCTGGCTGAGAAGTCAAGATAGTCCTGTGGCAGAGACAAGGGAGGCGGATGCCCGGCTGGACATACAGCATCCCAGGAGGGGCCAGGCCAGTGCTGGGGAGGAGGTCTCACCCGCAGGCATGCTCTGGAGAGGAAGAGATGAGTTCTCTTGGGAAGGATTCATATATTGAAACTGGATCCTTGCTTCTCAAACCTGGCTGCACATCAGAATCACTGGGGAACTTTCAGAAAAATGCACTCAAGCCACAATCCAAACCAATTAAATCAGAAGCTTGGGTCCGTCATAGTCACCGTAGATTTTAAAAGCTCCCCAGGCAATTCTAATGAGAAGCTGCTGTTGAGAACCCTTGAGTTCGGCCCAAGGGATTGGTAGGCATTTGAAGGCAGGGGAGAATAGGGGGCTAGATGAATGGGTGAACACCGTAGGCTGAGGAAACCACAGGAGGCGGGAGCCTGGTGTTTTTGGTAGTCTTGAGTAATGTCCTGTATCTGGAACTCAGAATTGGAGCAGATGGGTTGGGCTATTGAGGGGGCATGGCAGAGGGCCCAGGGTGTGTATTTCATGTCCATTGCTGCTGGAGTTGAAGGCAGGGGAAAGCAGTGGCTGGCTCCCATGGAGCTGGCATCTCTGCAACTGCCTCAGGGGCTCCACTCACCCCTCCTCAGAGACCCTGCGAGTCAGGGCTGGCCACAGGAGGTTGGGGTGTGAAGGATTCTCCAAGAGGTGAGTGAATCTCTCTCCTTTAACCCTGTCCAGTTGGGAGAGGAGGCTGTAACCCTCTCACAGTCTGCCTAAGGAGAGGGTCCCTCATCTCTACCTCTCCCCTCCCTTGAGTCATAGAGTAGGGTTTTATAAAACAGAGCTAATTAAGCAGAAGCAAAGGGCACCCTTTAGGTGGGAAAGAGGAAAAGACTAAAGGTCCAGCTGGACCACAAACTCCGTGGCTCTTTCTTGCTGTGGGCCTCAGGATCTCCTCCTTTAAAATGAGTGGGATGGAGTACATCATGTAAATAGCCAGGCCCTCTGTGGACTTCCTGTGTGCCAGGCTCTATGCCAGTACTTCATTCTTCCACCACAGCAGCTGGGCAGGGGGAGGTGTGTGGGTCTGTTATGACCCCAATTTCATAGATAAGGTAACTGAGGCCCAAGGAGGTTATGTACTTTGCTTAAGGACATAGTCTATTAGGAGGCAGAGGTGGAACTTGATCTCAGGCAGCCTGTACCCCTGACTGCTGGGATGCACCGCCTCTGAAGAGTGACACGCTCTGAGTCCCAGCACCACTCCCCCCTGCCCCCACCGCCCAGCTGCGGCACCAGACGTGGGATCTTTGAAGGGCCCTTAACACCTTAATTTTCATGTCTGAAAAATAGTGGAAAAGTAATACCTACCACATAGGATTATTGCATTAAGTGATCAAAGTCTGTGAGAAGCGCGAAGGACAATGTATGACATTTGCTAAGCGCTTAACTAAGACACTGTAGTTATTAGGAGCTGTCATCTTATAGTGTTGGGGGTCTCCAGGGCTCCCACCTTTTGCTAGATCCCAGTTCTGGGGAGTAGAGAGATCTCTCTAGGAAGCAGGTCAGTGCCACTTGGAACAATCCTGGCAGAGCAGGGGAGAGGTTGGGGACCAGATCTGGGCTTCAGAGGGCAGATGGAGGGTACAGGAAGATGGAGAGAAGTGTTCGGCTGGGGAAAGGCAGAAAGGGAGCAGTAAGGCAGGTGGGCACTGGGTTCTCTCAGACATGCATGCATGTGCACACATACACGCACACAACTCATTTAACTCTCACAAACCTATAGGCTCGGTAGAGTTTCACCCCCATTTAACAGGTGAGGCTGCTCAGACAGAGAGGTTAGCTTGCTTGTCTCTTATCTAGTAAACCCCTCAGCCGGGAAGGGGGAACCGAGGTGTGTGTGTGGATGGTTCTGGAATCTGCCTTCACCACTGGGCTACATTGCTGCTCAGAAGAGGAATGAGGAGACACCCTAGCCCTTTAAGCTTTCCCCTTGCCAGAGTGAGAGGTCATACAGCAGAGGAGGCTACAGTGAGGCTGGAAAGAGGCCTTGAGGGAGAAGGGCCCTAAAATGTGCATGAGGTCTGCCCCTTTCTTAGCTATGAAAAGGCCAAAGGGCGTTTGTGTTTCTAAGGCCTGGTATAGAATGCCTCGGCTTCTAATGACTTGCTTGGGAAGGAGAGGGGCAGGCCAGGGGGAGGGGCGGCCCCTGGAAGAGCATGCCCTGCAGGCTGAGGTTGGAGGACTCTCCTCAAGGGGGCCTTAAGTTCTTGGAGAGCATTGACCTTGCTGTCACCCACCAGGGGAGGCCTTAATTTTCCCCCATTGTCCTTTAAGAACCTCTCGCCTGCTCTTAGGGGCACCCTGGCTGAAGCTGGGCTTCTTGGCTGCAAGTCCAACACTCTTGGGCAAGATGGGCCTCCACTCCTGTCATCACACCTGCAGCACTGTAGAGCCCCCAGGAGCATTTAAAGATGCTGATGTCCAGGCCCCTCTCCAGACCAAAGTCTTCAGCATTTGGGTGGGTGGGTGGGTGGGGGGGCTCCATGTAGAGTTAGAAGCCTCCAGGCAATTCTAAAGTGTATCCAGGTCTGAGAACCACTGGCCAGAGCACAGCATCCACCAGGTCACTCATGTCATCTCAGGCAGAGAGCAGCCAAACCAGGCTGGGGAGCTCACCACTGGCCACGTCAAATCTGAGTGTACCGAAGAATCGATGTCTGTGTGTTGTGTTATTAATCTGTGCCAGCCTGCCTGCTGCATCCATTTCCTGTGCCTTCGCTGCCCGTGTGGCCCCAAGCACATACGCCATACACAGAACGCTGGCCAAAGCTCAGCTCATGTCCTTGAAACACCCTTGAAAAAGGAAACCTGACAACTTGTTCCAGTGCCTCCGAGTGTACTCACAACAGTGTCTTTTATAGAGTTTAACATGCTCATATATATTTTGTGTGTATGTATTCAATCTGGTAACGTGAGTCAATTGGAATAGGAGTCTTGAGCTGTTAGGTGGATTATGTCTGTGGCACTGTGTGTGGCTGGGGGGATGCAGGGAGGTTCCAGGAAGTACGTGTTTCCTTCAAGCCCTTGCTCCTCACTGGTCCTGGGACCTCCACCCCAAAGAGAACCTAGAATGGTGCTGTGCAGAGTGGCTTTCGGAGTGGTGGCCAGGACACAGATGCGCCGGGGGTAGCAGGCGGGGTAGCAGGCAGCTCAATGAGGGTGAGAAATAGAGCCCAGAGAGGTGGCCGTGGGGAGTGAAAGCAAGTTTGCAGCCTGGCTTGCTTTGTTTGCAAAATCCTTGGCATGTTTTAAAGGTGTTGATTGAGGAGAGGAGGGGGTTTGGAGACGCAGCCGTTTTGTCCCTCATTCCAAACCCCCAAATGCTAATGGGATTTGAGCCAATACCAAGTTGGCTTTGTCATATGATGCCCAGGGAGGCTGAGGCCAGAGGTGGCGGTCACTGACCAACCACACTGGGAGCCAGAGCCAGCTACATGGGACAGGAC